GTAAAACTCCATGGCCCCATTGCCATTTCCTTGAGATTGATAAGGGCCTGTGATATGCCGTGTACCATCCTTGGAGCTGAGGAGAGGGAGCTGGCTACTTGTTTTCAGAGGTCATAGTAGGGGAGGCACATAAGCAGTGAGTCACTGTGCAGTCCAACCTGGGTGCTTTGATACCTGTACCCCAGTGCCAAGGAGATGCAGAGAAAATTAATGACACTCCACCACTCTATGACAGACAGCATGCCTCTTTAAGCAGAGTAGGCAGCACAATGAGACAGAGCCAGAGAGAACCAGCCAGAGACTGTGTGGACTCCCAGGAGAAACTGTTAAGTCTTGGCTGGGTGTGGTGGCTTACGCTAATCCCCGCACTTTGGGAGACTAAGATGGGAGGATCACTTGAGCCCAGGAGTTTGAGATCAGCCTGGGCAACATAGCAAGACTTCATCTTGACAAAAAATACAAAAATTAGCCAGGGGTGGTGGCATGAGCATGTAGTCCCAGCTGCTTGGGAGGCTGAGGCAGGAGGATCACTTGAGTCCAGGAATTTGAGGCTGTGGTGAGCCATGATCCTGCCACTGCACTTTAGCCTTGGTGCCAGAGTGAGACCCCAACTAAAAAATAAACAAAAAAACTACTAAGTCTCTATCTCCCGCTCCCCAGGTAGAGAGAGCAATCAGGGGAGGGCATGAACTGTAGAAAAGTGGTTCTCAACCTTGGCTACATATTAGAATTACCCAGGAAACTTTTAAGAGTATTAATGCTGGCTCAGTCTGTAATCCCAGCACTTTGGGAGGCTGAGGTGAGTGGATAGTCGAGTCTGTGGGTTCGAGACCAGCCTGGGCAACTTGGTGAGACCTCATCTCTACAATAAATTAAAAATGAGCTGGGCATGGTAGTGCGCGCCTATAGTTTCGGCTGCTTGGAAAGCTGAGGTGGAAGGATCACTGGAGCCCAGAAGGTCAGCGCTGGGGTGGCCATGAGCGTGCGTGCCACTGCACTCCAGCCTGGGTGATGGAGTGAGACTCCAATTAAAAAAAAAAAAAGTATTAATGCCTGGGTTCCCATGAGAACCAGAACCTCTGGGGCATGAGGCTTAGGTATTGGTATGCTCCAGAATCTCATCCCCAGGTGGCTCTTATATGCAGCCAGGGCTGAGAACCACTGACTTAAAGGAAGGAGTGCTTAATATGGTCGTTGTCTGATATAAATATATTGCATAGCTACCAAGTGCTGAATACTGGGGACACAGTGGAAGGCAAAACAGACCTAGTCCCTGCCCTCAAGTAACTCTAGTCCTGGCTCTGCCACTGATCATCCTGAGCTCTTGGACCTTTCTCTTTTCTTCTTTTTTTTTTTTGAGTTAGAGTCTCACTCTATTGCCCAGACTGGAGTACAGTGTTATGCTCATGGCCACCCCATTGTTGACCTGCTGGCCTCCAGCGATCCATCAGCCTTCCAAGTAGCCAGAACTACAGGCACGCACTACCATACTTGGCTAATTTTTTGATTTATTGTAGCAATGAGGTCTGGCTAAGTTGCTCAGGCCGTTCTCGAACCCGTGGGCTGAGACATTCCCCTCACCCCAGCCTTCCAAAGTGCTAGAATTACAGACTTGAGCCATCACACCCGGCCTCTCTTTTCTTCTTTAGACTCTAGGTTTCCTATCCAATTAGGCTCCATTCTCCACCCTGCTTCCCCTTCCACCCAATAGACCATTGGCCTGTGTATAATTTTTCTCTCATTTTTGGTGATTTTTTTTTTTTTATTGTGGTAAAATGCACATAACAGGCAGGGTATGGTGGCTCACACTTGTAATACCAGACGTTTGGGAGGCTGAGGCGGGAGGATCACTTAAGACCGGGAATTAGAAACCAACCTTGGCAATAGTAAAACACTCTCTCTATAAAAAATTTAAAAATCAGCCAGGTGTGGTAGTGTGTACCTATAGTCCTAGCTACTTGGGAGGCTGAAGCCAGAGGATCATTTGAGCCCAGGAGTTCAAGGTTATAGTGAGCTATAATCATGTCATTGTGCTCCAGCCTGAGTCATGAGTGAGACCCTGTCTTTTAAACAAACACATAACATAACAAAATTTACCATTTTAACCATTTTAGAGTATACAACTTAATGGCATTAAGTACATTTACACTGTTGTGCAGCCATCACCACCATCCATCTCTAGAACTTTCTCATCTTCCCAAACTGAAACTCTGTATATATTAAACAGTAAATCCCAATTTCCTCATCCCTTCATCCCTAGCAACCACCTTCTACTTTCTGTCTCTAGAAATTTAACTACTTTCAGTACTTCATATAAGTAGAATCATATAGTATTTGCCTTTTTTGAACGGTTTATTTCACTTAGCACAAAGTCTTCATGGTTCAGCCATGTTGTGGCATGTGACAGGATTTCCTTCCTTTCTAAGACTGAATAATAATCTGTTGTGGGGGCATCCCCTTTGGGTCGCCTCCCACTGTGGGAACTTTCCTGTCCTCTCAATAAATCCTGCTTTCTAAAAAAAAAAAAAATCTATTGTGTGTATATACCACATTTTGTTTATCCATTTATTAATTGATGGACATCTGAGTTATCTCCACCTTTTGGCTATTGTGAATAATGTTACTATGAACAGGAGTATACTAATATCTTCTCAAGGACAGGTGTAGTAGCTTATACCTGCAATTCCAGTGCTTTGGAAGTGCTTTGGAGGCTGAGGCAGAAGGATTGCTTGAGGCCAGTAGTTCAAGACCAGCCTAGGCAAGATAGTGAGACCTTGTCTTTACAAAAAATATAAAAATTATCTGGGTGTGGTAGCATATACCTGTAGTTCCAGCTACTCAGGAAACTGAGGTGGGAGGATTGCTTAAGCCCAGGAGGTCAAGGTACAGTGAGCTATGATCACACCACTGCACTCCAGCCCAGGTGACAGAACGAGACCTATTTCTAAAAAAAAAAAAAAAAAAAAAAAAAAATATATATATATATATATATATATCTCCTTGAGAATCTGCTTGCAGTTCTTTTGGGTATTTACTCAAAAGTGGAATTGCTAGATCATATAGTAATTCTGTTTACTTTTTTGAGGAACCTCCACACTGTTTTCCATAGCAGTGCATTTTTTTTTTTTTTTTTTGAGTCAGAGTCTCACCCTGTCACCCAGGCTGGAATGCAGTGGGACGCTCATGGCTACCTTAGCATTGACCCGCTGGGCTCAGGTGATCCTCCCGCCTCAGCCTTCCAAGTAACCAGAACTACAGGTGAGCACTACCTCATCCAGCTCATTTTTGATATATTGTAGAGATGCGGTCTCACCAAGTTGCCCAGGCTGGTCTCAAACTCCTGGGCTCAGGCAATCCTCTCACCTCAGCTTCCCAAAGTGCTGGGATTACAGGCTTGAGCCACTGCGCCCAGCCAGCAGCTGCATTTTACATTCCCACCAACAATTCACCAGGCTTCCAATTTATTCATATCCTCGCCAACACTTGTTTTTACATATTTATTTATTCATTTATTTTTGAATTGAGGGTTCTTTGTCTCCCAGGCTAGAGTATAGTGGCAGGATCATGGCTCATCACAGCCTTGAACTCCTAGGCTAAAGCAACCCTCTCCCCTTGGTCTTCCAAAATGCTGTGATTATGGGTATCAGCCACTGGACCTGGTCTCTACTTTTTTTTTTTTAAATAGTAGTCATCATAATGGGTATGAGGTGATATCTCATTGTGGTTTGATTTGTACTTCCCTTATACTTAGTGATGTTGAACATCTTTGCATATATTTGTTGGCCATTTGTATATCTTCTTTGGAGAAATGTCTGTTTAATTCCTTTCCCCATTTTTTAACTGGATAGTTTGTTTTTGTTTTGTTTTGTTTTTATTTATGGGAGTCCTTTATATATTCTGGTTATTAATCCCTTATCATATATATGATTTGCAAATATTTTCTTCCATTCTGCAGGCAACCTTTTCTCTCTGTTGATTGCATCCTTTGATGTATGAAAGGCTTTAATTTTGACGTTCAAAATTTTTCTTTTGTTGCCGGTGCTTTTGGTATCATATCCATGACATCATTGCCAAATCCAATGTCATAAAGTTTTTCTTCTGTGTTTTCTTCTGAGAGATTTATAGTTTTAGCTCTTACGTTTATGTCTTTGATCCATTTGGAGTTAGTTTTGGTATATGGTGTCAGATAAGGGTCCAGCTTCATCCTTTTGCATGTGGAGATCTGATCTTCACAGCACCATTTGCTGAAAAGACTGTACTTTCTCAGTGAGAGGTCAGAAGTACATTTTATGGAAGAGATAAAATAATGTACATGAGTAATATCATGAGCAGTGGTTTGATAGATGACGTCCTACCCAAGCCCCTAATGGCCTGAAGGCACAGAATCTGACGGGAACTGGGAAGGTCGGTCACTGTTAGCATTTGGATAGATGACAGTTCTTTCTTCCTTTCCCTTATTCAAGATGTGTTTTTTAACTACTGCAGCTGATTTTTAATAATCATAATAGCAAATATATATATTGTACTGACTATGTGCCAGGCTCTATTCTAAGTGTTTTACTTATATCAATCTATTCAATTTTCACATGAGGGTAGGTACTGTTGTTTTCACTAGCTTTGGCACCTGTAGGTTAAGTGATTTGCCCAAGATCACACAGCTAAGTGGTGGAGCCTGTATTTGAACCTGGGTAGTTTGGCACCAGAATCTGTGGGCTCATAAACTTAAGATCCTCGTGCTTTGAGTGATTACTGATGGCTTAGGCCTGTCATAAGCTTTTTAACCTGGAGTGTGGTGAATGAAGAACCATGTTGCAACATGAGTCCTCAGGCTCATATCCTCGCTGGATGTTCTCTTGTGACAGCAGACCCCTAGAACGGCTGCATCGGCTCAGTCCATCTGCTTGGGAGGAGAATGTGGTGGTTCCGATCTATTCCCATATCCTGCCAGGGCCCCCTTTTTCCAGGAGAAATGTAAACTAGTTTTCTCTCTGATTTCACAGAAAAGGCAACAGATGGCTCCCTGCAAAGCGAGGACTGGACGTTGAACATGGAGATCTGCGACATCATCAACGAGACAGAGGAAGGGTATGTGTGCTGCCTAACCCTTCTGGGAAACCTCTCTCAACTCTTGGGGGCCACTCAAAGCATGTCAGGGCCTGAGGGTGGAGAGGGCTCTTTTTGTTTTGTTTTAGTCTGTTCGCTTTGGCGGACACTCTTAATAATCTGTCCTTTTCCTGTTAATCATCTCATCCCCCGTTTCCCCAGTGGCAGTGCTCAAAGTAGACAGTCACAACCTCTTTTAGTCACCTGCTTTTAATCACTTGGGGGAATGAAGCAGCTTGGGTTACTTGACTCCCAGTGGCCATTAGTCTCTGCAGCCAAGTTATCACCTCCTTCTGCCCCTCCTCCCTGGCCCCTGCCTCTCCTTCGCAGTGTGGGTCTGTCTCTGCCCTAGTTTGCCAGAGGAGAGCCCCAGGAGTTGGAGAGTGCCACAGTGTCCACGGAGAGAGATCCAGGGTGTGTGTGTCAGACACCGCAGGGAGTGAGCAAGTGGCGCACATGGCACAGAGCAGTTTCCAGCATAAGTGGACCTAACCCATGGGTGCCCCTTGCGTTCCTGCACTGCTGGATCTGCTTTTTGTTGTCTCCTGTATCCTCTCCTTCTACTCTATAGCTACACTCTATTTGTTGTTTTTCCAAAGTGGTCTGAATTTAGCCCTCTGTCCACACCACGAACTCTTTACTGTAGCCATACCCTCTGAAACCATCTCCAGAGTGGCGAGGAGAGCACTCTGGCAGCCTTGGCTGGCATCTCCGCACTGTCACTTTAGCCTTGCCATGTGTGAACTGGGGACTGTCCTCTTAAGGTTGGTCCTGCTTTCGTGCAGCAGACATTGAGTGATTACCTGGTTATGAACCCTGTTGAAAATACTAAGGACACAGCCGTGAATAATACAGACTCCCTCCCCTTGTGGAGTTGCCAGTCTAGAGTGGGGAGGCAGGCCATAAACAAGACAATTAAGCATATAACCCTTGTAAACCAGGTAAGATGGAGACAAGACTGTGGAATGGAGAGAGAAGGTTGGGAATTAGCCGTTTAAAATGAATGATCAAAGAAAGTCTCACTGAGAAGGTGAACAAAGGCCTGAAGGAGATGAGGGAGTGAGGGGTGAGGATTATGCAAGGGCAGAACTGTCCAGGCTCAGGGAACAGCAAGCACAGAAATCTTGGGATAAGGGGTGCCTAGCGTGCTTGAGCAATAGCAAGGTGGCTAACGGCCTGGAGAGGAGTGATCAAGGAAGAAGGTGCTGAGAGATGGAGTCAGCGATGTGTTGCAGATCCAGATAACGAGGATTATGTGGCTTTGATTTCAGGTGGGAGAGGAATCCTTCTGTGGGTTCCAGCAAAGGAGTAACATGGTCTCACTTTTGTTGTAAAGAGATCACTCTGTCTGCTGTGTTCAGAGTGACCTGGCTAGGGGCAGGCCAAGGACAGAAGCAGAAAGCCCAGTGAGGAGGTTATCCCAGTATCCTGGTGTGAGGTGGTGGCAGGCCTGCCCAGGGTGATGGGAAGGAGTGAGTGAGATATATTGAGATTCTGAATGTGTTTAGAAGGTAGAGCCAATGGAAGTGGCTGATGGAATGGGGTGAAGAGTCAAAAATAACTGCACGGTTTGGGGCCTGAGCGGCCGTGAGATGGAGCTGCTATTTCCTGAGCTGGAGCAGGCTGGGGAGCAGAGATCAGGAGAAGTCTGAGTTGCCAGCCAAGCTCCCAGGGGAGATGCTGAGGGGGGACAGCACAGGTGACTCTGGAGTTGGGGGCATTGGCCTGCACTGGAAGTGTGGAAGTCTTGGTGAAAGGTGGCATATTTTTACCAGCTAAATATAGGTGATCAGCTTGGTGCCTAGCACACAGATGTCCTTACAAATAGTTGTTGGGAATGATACATGTCCAATCCCATCTTCACAGGGCTAGAATGGCCTCCTTCCTCCCTAGGAGGAAGACACCCCAGATACCACTCATTCAGTCGTTTATCCAGTTGTTTTTACTGACCCTCACTTGTGGAGGTGTAGCAGTTCCAGCGTGCCAAGGTGAATGTACTGGCCCACCCTTGGGGGCTCACCTGGGGACACTGGCCAGTGCTGTGGCTGAGGCCTGTGCCCAATGCTGCAGCCTCAGAGGGAAAGGCGGGCTTCAAGGATGGCAGGAGTGGAAGCGTGCCCTGTAGCTAAAGATGGCACAAAAAGGACCCATGTGTTGAGGGATGCAAATGTTCTGGGGTAGATAGGTGACGTGAGGGGAAGAGGAACTATCTGGAGTCAGGCTGGAAAGGTAGTCAGGGTCAGGGGCTTCATTCTTTGACATCTGCCCTTTACCCTAGAGGCACATATCGGCTTTGGTTCCTTCCCTCCTGTCCCTTCCTGTTGCAGAACTCGGTAAATTGCTCCCTTGCTAACAAGCCTTCAAGGCCTTCTCAGGTTCTTAGGGTAAGAATCCTTAACTAGGCCCTGTATGAGATGCCCTGGGTCCCTCTGCAGCTCTGCTTTGGGCTCTTCATCCCCATAGATCTTTTAGTTCCTCAAATCTTTCACATTCCTGTGCCCAGTTTAAAATTCTCCACAAATTTGCACAATACACAAATAGGTTGACAACCCTTATTTTCCAGTGACTTGCTCAATTACCTCTGTGGCTTAAGGGCAGGAAGCCCAGGAACCCTAGGAGCTTCCTCATTATGAGCGGGCTAAAGCCTTCTTTTTCAAATCCTCAACTCAGGGAAGACCGGGTCACACACATCCTCCTCAAGTGGTCCAGGCTCCTGCTCCTGTATTTTTGAGTGAGAGCATCTCAGTGATTCCTAAGGGTTTTATGTCCTTGCCTCTACTGTGAGGTGTCTCAAAATCTCTTTCTAGAGGAGTGTGGTAGCACATGCCTGTTGTCCCAAGCTACTTGGAGGGCTGAGGCTGGAGGATCGCTTGAGTCCAATAATTGAAGGCCAGCCTGGGCAACAGAGCAAGACCCCTAAAAAGAAAATATCTTCCTAACTGGGAGAAAACCCTACCAGCTGGGCTGATGGTAGGACACCTCACCCACTCCTTCATACCCTTCCCTGAAAGGCCTCTGTCCTGCTGTCCTTTCTTTTCCACTTACCTCTCTCACTAAGTAGTTCCCATCATTCGGTAGATCTTAGTTTGAATCTTATTTCCCTGACACCCTTCTACTTGATTTGGACAAGTCCTCTGTTATATGATTTCATAATAACCTGTATTATACTGATGCTCATCACAGTTTACTCTTACAGATCTGTGTGACACTTGTGTCTTGCCCTGCAATCCCTCTGTGAGCTCCAAGAGGGCAGGAGTTCCATCTGTTTTACTTGCAGTTTTGTCCCTAGCACCTAGCACAGTACGCACATGATTGGTTCTTGATAAATATTTGCTAAATAAGTGAATAAATGAATGAAGTCCCTAAGGCACTCACAGTCTGATGAAGAATGCAGGCATGTAAACATAATCATAACACAGCATGACACGTGCCCTGAGAGACAGGCGCTATCTATAGCTACGGAAAGGGAGAGACTATGCAAGAGTTGGGGCTAGCTAGGCATAGGGCTGTTGGAAGCAAAGGCTTCTGGGAGGAGGTGACACCAGCCTAGAGGCTTACAGGATACTAGAGCATCAGCCGGGTGAGGCAGGTGGATGACAGGGGAGGAAGGTAGACACCCCAGGCAGAAGGGTGCTGTGTGTAGCATATGTACAGGAAGCATAGTGGAGTGAGATTAGGGTGCAGGGCCTGGAGCCACCCGTCCAGGCTGGAATCCTAAGTCACTTCTCACTTGCTGTGTAACCCTGGCTGAGTTATTTTATCTCCCTGTGTCTTAGCGTCCTCATTTATAAAATGGGGTTACCAGCAGTACTCATCTCATAGGGTTTTATAAGGATTAAATACATAAATATGATGTATCTAATGATATAATTTTATCTCCATATTCATGCTGTATAGATATGGATTTGCTATTTCTCCTTTGGAGATTTCCATTGCCCATGAAATTCATCACCCCTCATATCTGGGTGTCAGTTATCGTCTGGGTCCTTGGTCATCATCTGTGGATTCACTCCCCTCACCCTGTCTGCTGTCCCTGAGCCCCTGCCATGGGTTGGGCCTGGTGCCTAGCCCTGAATCTTGTCGTCTCATGCAGCAGTCCCACATGGTCCTAAAAGGTACAGACAGCCTGCTTTAACGTTAAGGAAGCTGAGACCGAGAGTGGTTTGTTTTTTTTTAAACTTCCCAAAGGCCTTGCAACCCAGCTCAGAAGGACACGTGCAGGCTGCAGACCCAGGCTCAACTAACTCCAGCCATTGAGGCTGTGATCGTGCTTCTTGGGTTTGTGTAGCACTTTACCACTGGGAGGCTGTGGGCCTGGTTGATGCAAACTGGTAAACTGCTCCATGGCCCTCTCTCCCTGGGCTTTCCCTAATGTCCAGGGCTGCAGTCACTGACAGCCTGAGGAGTGCTGACGCCTAAGGTCTTGTGTGGCAGTCCCTCGGTCATTAACCGGGAACAGGAGAAGCTGGTTGGATAACCCACCTGGGAATGTTTAGACCCTGTTTCCCAGGCCTCACCCCAGGCCTACTTAAGTGGGGCACAAGCATGTGGACTTGGGAATTGCTCCCCAGGTGATTCTAATGTGCAGCTCTGATGAGGTTCCACTGATTCTGGGTCATTTTCCTGGCTATATCTGGACCTTTCTCAACTCATAGAATCTTTGTGCTCCAGGCTCTAAGCTGAAGGGGGCACAGAGGAGGAACTGGATAAGTGCAGTAGAGCAAGATAATAATAGCTGGGGGTGGGGGGAGGTGTTTGGGGTGATGGA